AATAATGATAATAATAATAATAATAATAAAACAAATACGACCCCCGCGTCGAAGTAAGATCGAGAGTGCAGGGATGTCGACGTGGGTCAGAGGTCATCGGCTAGAGCGAAAATCTGATTGTGAACCGCCAGCGCCAATAACCTGCGCGCAAAATTATACCTTTTGCCAGTACAAAGGTCTTCGGCAGTACTTATCTGCGCGAACAATTTTATTGGAAGGAAAAAAACTAATTGCTTGTACTGATTAAAGCAACTGTGCTATCATTTGGATAGTCTCTTGTGATTTGCACGTCTTGCGCCTGCTGCGGCAGTGCAAAGGGCACTGTATGCTTTAATTGCAAGTGTGTTCGGAGGTCCTTGTCTTCACGTGAGTGCTGTGGCAATGCAAACAAAAACATATGCTGCCTCTATTACGTGGACAATGGCAGTCCTGGCACTTGCACGTGGGACATGCATAGGGGACAGATGGTTAGCCAAAAGCAGAGGGAATTGCATAATCCACCACTTATTGGGGCTAGTGTTGCACAGAACACCTACTATACGGGTTTGTTGCAGAAAACACCACATATTGGTGTAATACATTGCAACTAGATCTAATCTAGTGTTTGGATACATTGACATAATTTTATACAGATGCGTCCCACTTGTAAGTGCACATGTGGCAATAAAAACCGGTCACATCAGCCAACATATTAGATCGTCATTATCTCCCAAACTTGTGGTTCAATTGAGCCGAAACTTTCTCAAATTAGTATTGAATACATGTAGTATTTACTGGAATTGTTTCTCATTTTTCTGAAAAATGTCAAAAATTGAACCAAAAAATTGTACGGGCTAACCAAAACTTTCATTATCTTCAACCCATTGATCCAAATGGGGTAAAACTTTTCCAGAATGGTACTGTAGACATGTGAAATTCACTGGAATTTTTCATATTTTCTGAAATTGTTAAAATTTGAACCAAAATTTAAATGAAACAAGTTCGGCATGTGATCACTAGCACCAAAAACATGGTAGATATTGTTGCCATTAGATTTTAGCATCCAAGTATTTGCTATATGGCCACTACAGCAAACTAGTTGTCATGTGGCCAATACAACCATCACAAAATAATATGACTAGTCTTGCATACTTGGTCTGGAGGAGGCGCTCCCCTGACAATATTGTTGCCTACCAGACAGCGTTCCCCTGGGCACAGCCGCCAAAGTTCTTTGACTTTACCTGCTCCAACGATGAGGATGACGCTTACGGCTATGGGCGAGAACTGCTGTGAGGCTTTTTGTTTTTATTATGTTTTATTATATTTAGTTATGTTTGAAGGGGACTTTGGCCAGCGGTTTTAATGTTTAATCATGTATTATTAATATTCATGTTTTAAATTTAAATATTTTTTGTGCCTATTTAGTTTTTTAAGACCACGCGGACAAATGCGTCGGCCACGGTGGGTGCACCAGCCGACCCAAAAAACCCGGACATGCATGTCTGCTCGGCCGACCCAAACGGATAAAAGTCACATTCCTTTGCATCAGCCGGTTAGAATTGACTTACAAGCGAGATCCATTTGTCTGAAATTATGTTAATATAGCTAAACGCTAGATTAGACCTATCTGCAATGTATTACACCAATATGTGGTGCTTTCTGCAACAAACCTGTATAGTAGGTGTTTTGTGCAACACTAGCCCCAATAAGTGGTGGTTCATGCAATTCCCTCGCCAAAAGCATAGACAGTCTCATGATTAAATAATAAAGAAAATAAAACTAGGACCGGATCACTTTCTAGCAAATCTGAATTCTTGTCGGCCCGCACACTGTTCGGCACAGGCAGGGTCTCCTCGCTGGATTACCATAGTTCAGATTTTTGGCAGGTCCCCTGAATTGCTGTCCAGCCAGCGTACGAACCTGGCCCTGATCAGGTACCCTAGGGCATGTGTTCCCCAATGATGTGTTCGGCCGCCAGGCCACCTGCCGCCGCTGCTTCTAGCACACGTTGGCATCTGGCGCTCATATAGCTACGCATGTTTCTTGCCTTGATGGCCTATGCGCGCGGAGCCGGATCGAATCTGCAGAAAAAATAGCAATGAACAACAGAGATTTTTCTTTTGGCAAAAGAATTGATCTACGTACAACGAAATAAACTGAAACTACAACACCTGATTTGGCATTTGTTGAAGATCCATCGAATCGCAACGATCGCCTAGCAGACTCTCAATGAAAGCACCAATGTCGGTGTCAAAAGCGGCGAATCTCGTAGTAGGGGTCCTAAGCTAGGCGTCTTGAAGCGATGGTAATATGGACATGGGATTTTAATCAGGTTCAGACTCTCTTGATGGAGGTAAAACCCTACGTCCTGCTTTTGATTATATTCATATCGGTGTAGTACAGAGTACATATGTCTACCACGAGACTGATCTAATGAATATGAGATTGTCTATTGACTAGCCTGGCATGAATAAAAAGGAAATAAAAGAGATCATATAGATCTTATGGAGAGTAATGAGCTCACATATAAAAAGTGTGATGAATAAAAGTTATTGAGAGTTGACAAACATAGTTTTGCTCATCGTTGCAATTAATAGGAAGTAATAAAGAAAGAGAGGTCTTCACATATAAATATACTATCTTGGACATATTTTATGATTGTGAGCACTCATTAAAATATAACATGCTAAAGAGTTGACGTTGGACAAGGAAGACAGTGTAATGGGTTATGTTTTCTTACATCTGAAAATTATATTGTCATGGATCATCCAACATGATTGAGCTTGTCTTCCCCCTCATGCTAGCCAAATTCTTTGCACAAGTAGAAATATTACTTTTTCCAAACACCCTTAAACCAGTTTTGCCATGAGAGTCCACCGTACCTACCTATGGATTGAGTAAGATCCTCCAAGTAAGTTGTCATCAATGCAAGCAATAAAAAAATGCTCTCTAAATATGTATGACTTATTAGTGTGGGAGAAAACAAGCTTTATACGATCATATGATATGAAAGAAGTAAAAGCGACGGACTGCATAATAAAGGTCCATATCACAAATGGAAATATAAAGTGACGTTCTTTCACATTAAGATTTTGTACATCCAACCATAAAAGCGCATGACAACCTCTGCTTCTCTCTGCGAAGGGCCTATCTTTTACATTTATCTCCTACCTTACATAAGAGTCTTGGTGTTCCTCACCCTTCCTTTTTACATTTTATCTTTTGGCAAGCACAACATGTTGAAAAGATTCTGGTATATATATGGCTAATTGGATATGAGTTCTAATGAACTATTGTTGACATTACCCTTAAGGTAAAACGTTTGGAGATAAAACTATAAGCCCCTATCTTTCTCCGTGTCCGATTAAAACTCCATGCCCATAAGTATTGCGTGAGTATTAGCAATTGTGAATGACTATATGATAGTTGAGTATCTAGACTTGCTAAAAAGCTTTTATATTGACTCTTTCCTATATTATGATAAATTGCAATTACTCCAATGGCTGAGATTATAGTTTGTTAGTTCTCAATGAAGTTTATGATTCATACTTAAAATTATGATTGAATTGTTACTCTAGCATAAGAGATCATATGACAAAAATTATATAAGTTGTTGTTCTCAGAATGATCATGATGCCCTCATATCCGTGTTTTATTTTTACTAGTACAAATGCCCGTGCGTTGCACCGGGCGAAATATTAAGTATAAATTGCTCCATGTGCCATTATGCAGCATTTTTAATACATTTTTTGCAAATGTCAGAAATAAGGTCAATGTAACCTTTGAGTGTAGCAATTATGATCTTGATGCACCGCGATCTACAAGTGTTCGTGCAACATGACTGAAATTGCTATCTTTCCTCTAAAAGTAGTAGAAGTGAGGCAACTTGCAAAAAGTAAGGCTCGACAATGTTTTCATCTTTGGTGCCGACCAACCCTGTTTGTCCTTCCTAGGTCGCCACACCAGGACCGAGAAGACTCCCACCAGGACAGCCTGATACAAGCCTTTCCTCAATAAATAAATAAACAGCCCGATACAAATTATGGAATGCTCCTAGTAATTATGAATAATTTTTAACAGAGACACTGTCGATTGTCATCACTAACCACACAAAGCTGAGTGCCTAAGGCAAGCATAAAAGAACATCTCAAACAAGGTTAGATCAAAATGTCCGTTCATGCCCATGAAGCCATGTCCCATAACAAAAGTTCATCCAAATAAAGCTCAACAAGAAAGGCACATATAATGGCAAACATGGGCACATGAAACGGAAGTACATGACTCTAGAATCTATCAAAGAAAAGAAAATACAGCCCTGATGGGGAAACCAGTTCATACAATTGCACTATAAAAAATTATTGAAGAAAAACCAGAAGGTCATCTATAGCCTCTAGCAAACTTTTGAAGATAATTAAATCAGACTAAAGAGTTATCGCTTAGATTATCCAAATTGGAGATAAAAGATGTAGTACACAGTAAGGAAATTTTGTGGTGTGTGAGATTAAGCATGCCTAACTTTAAATTAAAATTAGAATTCATGCATGCCAAATAGCATCTCTGTGCAACATGCGCGTACATACACATAATATTATAATATAGCTCAACAAAAGATACAGCTTTTGCAGACATAAATTAGGACATGCAAACACGGGTTGTTAGTATAACATAGCTGCATTTGACAAAATTAGAAAACTCATATCTACACTGACCTGTAATATTATCGGTTTCGTGAACGTCAGTGGTGCTCTTGACCATGTATTGGATGCACTTTGGACCATTTGGTGTTATGAAACTATCGCATTTATTTCACATAGACATGGAAGATAACCGTAGTCCTCAATTTGCTCACTGAGTTAAGTACGATATGAATGGTATCCAAAGGAGTAGGCGACCTATCAGCTGCAGCAATACCTTCGGTTTCTTAGACATTTCTTTCTCCTTTCTGTTCAAGCGAAAATAGGATAAAGCTGCATTAAAACACACTAAACATGGATGTGTTACAGCAGAAAGTGCAAGACATTCTAAGCCTCGAGTACCATTTTTTTGCTAAGTTCTCTAACATTTTCTCTCTGTTGCTTATGCAAATACAAGCAGTTAATTTGCTTCTGAACTTGGCCAGCAGAAAGTGCCCACATATGCATCTCCTCGGCCAGCAGTCCAGCTTGGTGCTTCTTTGTTTCTAAGATAAGTTGGTACTGTAACAATAGGAATCAGCCTATAATATTTTTCTTCTCACAAAAATCACTATTAATGTAAATGCTACTTGGGCCCAAAAAGCATATTGCTTTACCTCAACAACTACTTGTGTATGTGAGTAAATAGATCAAGAAATTACTTTCTAGATTAGTTAGTTCCAGCAGCTCCTTCCTGCTATTATCCAAAATGTACTTGTAATCACAATCTTCCTTTTATTCCGCCATAGCAGCATCCTACCATCGGGCAACTAAACTGTCTCTCATATTATGGGTTTCAATGACTATGCTTCCTAGAGGAAGTGGAGCCAGAATTATTAGCGATGTCGTGCCTTTAGGACAGACGTTGCGTGGCTCCGGGCAGCTTGCGGCAGCGTGCAACAACTTATAATATGACTAATGCACACGAACGGAAAACTGAATCAATTTGAATAAGTAAACAGTAGGCAAGACCAGAAGATCGGAATCTAGTTTCATGTAAAAAATATTAGTTCGGTATATAAAACATGGCAAAAGTGGAAACTATGTAGCTCCTAACCACTTACCGTGGATTATTGAATGGGCTGGAGAATATGCAAACATGGATACGACTGAGTGGGTACAGTAGCGACAGATGATGAACTCAAACGGTGGTGAGTAGAAAAGCCTTGCCACCAGTCCGCTGCTTCCTTCACCTGGCAACCTCACCGATGGTGGCGTTCTCCTGATTTGCTTCAAACTGACATCAATACGCCTCCTCCACCGTTGCATCAGCCATCATCCATTACACGCCTATGGGAAATAAAATAGATGCTCAATCTCAGAGGACGAGCACTGATTTACTCATTGACACAAAACTGACTAAAAGATCAGTCCTAGCTTTTTTGTTCATTTACGGCCTGAAGTGTAGCATCTGTGAATATTTCAAACTTGAATCAAATCGGGAGAAACAGAACTTATTTGCCAAGCTCGTGGTCATTTTGTTTGCCACAGTTTTTGTAGCAGCCACCTTTTACCTGGGGTTACTCAACCAAGCATGCCCTTTTGAGTAGTTAATATAATGCAAAACACGAATTATATGTAACTGGACCAGGTATACTATTTTAACAGGAACTAAGCCTTGAATCAAACAAGGAGCAATCAGACTTGAAGCACTACAACACGAATCCGTTGTTAAATTTAAAGTATCAACTTTCAGGCTTGAAGCACTACCGACTTTTGCTGAAAGATGTCATTATGTCAGTTTATGCTTGGCCACAATCACAAGACAATAACGCTCAGATACTGCCTAAGAAAATATTTGTACTTTCTTGTATCCATAACAATGACGATTACTGTATGATGCTAGATTGGGTTAGTGTTCTTCTGATGCAATAAACTGAATGTAGATTTGCAAAGGCTAAATAAAGGACAGAAGATATGAGAAACTTACCAGCTTGGTGGCGTTCTTGAGGAGCTCAAGCATGGCATGCATGGTGATGGGAACCCTGATGGCCACACCATCTTGATACTCCAAGAATCTAGGGATTAGGCGGCGAATGGTTCATAACTCTGTTCAAACTTCAAAAATCACGAAGGGTTGCGCCATTTCGCTGCTCAAAAAAAAAATTCATGCTAGTCTCTATCCCTTGCCAAGTCCAATTACAAAATATCTTTAATCTACCACTGCCCGACACGTACACGGCACGACTTTCGGTCACCATATCCTCTCTCTTTCTAATAGTCATCAAAATTTAGGAACACGTCTGTTGATGCTGCACTTAATTGTTTGAACATCGTTCTCTCTACATCCTCCTAAACCTGAAATATGCAGATGTTAGAAAGTTTCTAATTTGTGTGTGTGTGTGTGTGTGTGTGTGTATATACACACACACACACACACATATATATATGATGATGATGATATTAAGAAAAGGATAAAATAGTATCAAGAACAGTTTCATATGTTTGGCCATGAGCCATTACAAACTTTGATAGACCTATCTCTGCATATCGCAAACTATCACAAATGAAAAGTTATTTTTTGTTTAGCTGATCCATGGAACAACTTCTCTGTATACTAAACATTCTCACAGATAACCAAAAATGAAAATGCGTATCAAGAAAGAATATGTGTGTTTGACAAAGTAATTAGGGTTAATTTGATAAATGCCACTCCAATTATGGCGATTCTGAACCATACGGCTAAAAACTGACAGGAACATGGTCATGAACTCCTCCCCAACGATCTCCCTGAAACCAAACACTCCCTGACCTATGGTCCTCCTCTTGCTCACCTGCCTGCCAATCAAGAAAACATAGGACCTTCGCATCAGCTCAGGATCGCATATAAAGAAGTGATCAGCCATTGACTTGCGCATGTCTACCAAGAACAAAGAAGAAAATATAATAAACTGAAGGTCCAACGGTTAGGCTATTTTCCATTATAGCACAGATAAGCAAGTATACTTGGGAGCAAGAAATCCAGCAGCTTATAGTCAATACAGTAGCAACATCTAGCAGTTTGTAATATCTCCCTGAACATCATCTACCACGGTTGTTGTTCTCGTCTAGCATGGCGGCTCTCCCCTTCGCTCGGCCATGGCTTCAGAAGCTCCCAGCGCTTGTCTACAGCGTCGGCCATCTCCACCACCACAGCGCCCCTCCCCGCTCTCCGAGCACGCCGCCACACACGTCCAACGCTTGTTCCTCCGGCGAACTCTGCGCTTCTTCCTCCGGCGAACTCGGCGGCGACATGGATGTTTCGACGAAGATTGCAATTTCGACGGGATTTGATTTGATGTGATGGAGCTTCTGGTCCGAGGACCCTTCCTTCTTATAGTAGGCAACTCAAATCCGGCTCGGGAAATCCATTGATTGGTGTTGGAGAAGAACACGTATTTGCTGTTGGAGAAGAACACGGAGTCCAATCACGACACGGGAGCAGCAACTCTGCCGCCGCTGGCAGCTTGCGACGCCCTGGGCACCAACTTGCAGCAGGTGGTGGAGGTTGAGGGAGGCGGCGACCACACGCAGGAGGCGGAGCTCACCGTGGGGGCAGGCGAGAGCGTGCAGCTGCACGGGGATGAGGACGGGAGGGGCTTGGCAGTCCAGCGCGAAGCAGAGGGGGCGAGCGGTCGAGGCAGAGGCGTCGTCCTCTGCCCGAACTGCTGCTGCTCGATGCAGAGAGCTGCGGGCGGGCTTCTGGAGTTGCAGGGAAGCGCGCACAGGAGGGATGGATGGGTTCATGGCGGAGGCGTCGGGGCTCCATGGAGGGCAGTGGCAGCTGCTTACTGAAGAAAGGAAGGAGAGAGAGATTCAGAGAGGGAACATGGGAAGGAAGCAGAGAGAGACTGCGGGATAGGGGCTTCCTACCGGCGTCATGGAGGAACTCCGGTGAGGCTCGACGTGCCGCGGGTTAGACGGGAGGACAGCAGCCGCGTCGCCGTCGCACTCGCACCAAGGCTAGGTTCGCGCGCTGCGTCAAGCTCCGCCTCCCCCAGCGTGCAGCCGCTCGCGGGCGCACGCGAAACCACAACGGCCATGGCTGATGGCCTTCAGGTCGCCGCGGAGCTTCTCCTGTCGCCTCCTGTCGCCGCTCGCCTCCGCTCGTCGGAGCCCCAAGCACCGCCGCCGTGGAGTGTCCCCCTCCTCGGCGACGCTCGATCCGGTGAACCCGGAGCTCTCCTCGCCGCCGGCGGCGCGGCACTGGTCGCCGTCGCGGCTGTCTTCCTCCTCCCTGGCCCCGCCTCCCGCCTCCCGTGTACGCGCACTCCTCCCACTCTCTCCCCCCACGCATCAGCATCTTTCGCCCCCTTCGCCTTATCCATCCTTGTGTGGCGCGGGTGGAAAATAAGACGGCGTGGATGAATCGTTTTTCACTTATCCATGGACTGCAGGTCAAATACTAAAAAGCACAGGGATCTTTATGCAAAAAGGGTCTTTTTTTTAAACCGAAGCGTTTTCCCAGATTCACTAAAGAAAGGACTGTGGGTTCTATTTTCGAAGGAAATCGTTTATTTTCATCCGGCTGATAACAGCGACGCGTGTCCCGCGTGGCGTGGACCTCGCAACCTTATCTTTTCCGCGTGTCCCTCGGCTCCCTCATCTCCTACCTCTGCAGAAGCAAATCCCCATCTCTTTCTCCGGACGCAGGATAAGCAAGCCGCCACCGGCCACTGGCCCGTCGTCGCGGCAGCTACCGCTGCATGAGCCAACCCAACCTGCTGCTGCAGGCACCACCAGCTGCCATCACCGCTCCACCTGCTTCTTCTCTTTTTTCTAGGCGCGACCAGTCCAACCACAGCAGCGCTACGACCCCACGATCCCGCCGTCGACCAGTGACGCTGCAACGCGAATCGGCGGGGAGTTGCAGTGCAGCAAGCGACATGTGACCCGTGGAGCCGGAGCCGTCGGCGCTGCCTTGGACCAGGCCGGGCTGCAATGGAGCTTCGCCGGAGCCGTTGGCGCTGCGGTGGAGCTCCGGCAGGGCTGCAATGGAGCTCGACCGGAGTTGCAATGGAGCTTCACCGGAGCCGTCGGCGCTGCCTTGGACCATCCCGGGCTGCAATGGAGCTCCGCCGGAGTTGCAATGGAGCTTCGCCAGAGCCGTCGGCGCTGCCTTGGACCACGCGCGGGATGTAGTGGAGCTCCGTCGGAGTTGCAATAGAGTTTTTCCATAGCCGTCAGCGCTGCGGTGGAGCTCAGGCAGGGTTGCAATGCAGCTTCGCCGGAGCCGTCAGAGCTACGTTGGAGCTCCGCCGGGGCTGCATTGGAGCTTGGCCGGAGTTGCAATGGAGCTTCGCCGGCGCGTCGGTGCTGCGTCGGAGCTCTGCTGGGGCCGCAATGGAGCTCGCCGGAATCAATCCGTGGTGCTGCGTTGGAGCTGCGCTGGGACTGCAAGTCTGCAATGGTGCTGCGTTGACTCGCTGCTACCGTGGCGTTGTTGTAATTCAACGGCCACCAGTGCACCGATCGAACGACTAAATAGGCGGATGATTTCTCTAAGAAATCATCCGGCTTATTTGTAGCAGCCCCCATTTTCGAAAAGCAAAGGAACTCAATCCGTGCTTTATTATTAGGGAAAGATTGACACCTCTATCTTTAAACATGTGGACATATTTTTTGATTTCGGCTTTCGCTTGAGGACAAGCGAGGTCTAAGCTTGGGGGAGTTGATACGTCCATTTTGCATCATGCTTTTATATCGATATTTATTGCATTATGGTCTGTTATTACACATTATGTCACAATACTTATGCCTATTCTCTCTTATTTTACAAGGTTTACATAAAGAGGGAGAATGCCGGCAGCTGGGATTCTGGGCTGGAAAAAGGAGCAAATATTAGAGACCTATTCTGCACAGCTCCAAAAGTCCTGAAACTTCACGGAAGTCATTTTCAGAATATATAAAAAATACTGAGCGCAAGAAGTTCCGGAGGGGGGCCACACCCTGCCCACGAGGGTGGGGGCGCCCCCACCCCCTGGGTGCGCCCCCTGCCTCGTGGGCCCCCTGGTGGCCCTCCGATGCCCATCTTCTGCTATATGGAGTCTTTTGATGAGGAAAAAAATCATAAACCAGCTTTCAGGATGAGACTCCGCCGTCACGAGGCGGAACCTTGGCGGAATCAATCTAGGGCTCCGGTGGAGCTGTTCTGCCGGGGAAACTTCCCTCCGGGAGGGGGAAATCATCGCTATCGTCATCACCAACGATCCTCTCATCGGGAGGGGGTCAATCTCCATCAACATCTTCACCAGCACCATCTCCTCTCAAACCCTAGTTCATCTCTTGTATCCAATTCTTGTCTCTAAGTCCGGGATTGGTACCTGTAGGTTGCTAGTAGTGTTGATTACTCCTTGTAGTTGATGCTAGTTGGTTTATTTGGTGGAAGATCATATGTTCAGATCCTATATGCATATTAATACTCATCTGATTATGAACATGAATATGCTTTGTGAGTAGTTACGTTTGTTCCTGAGGACATGGGGGAAGTCTTGCTATTGGTAGTCATGTGAATTTGGTATTCGTTCGATATTTTGATGAGATGTATGTTGTCTCTCCTCTAGTGGTGTTATATGAACGTCAACTACATGACACTACACTATTATTTAAGCCTAGAGAAAGGCATTGGGAAGTAATAAGTAGATGATGGGTTGCTAGAGTGACAGAAGCTTAAACCCTAGTTTATGCGTTGCTTCGTAAGGGGCTGATTTGGATCCATATGTTTCATGCTATGGTTAGATTTACCTTAATACTTTTGTTGTAGTTGCGGATGCTTGCAATAGAGGTTAATCATAAGTGGGATGCTTGTCCAAGTAAGGGCAGTACCCAAGTACCGGTCCACCCACATACCAAATTATCAAAATACCAAACGCGAATCATATGAACGTGATGAAAACTAGCTTGACGATAATTCCCATGTGTCCTCGGGAGCGCTTTTCTCTATATAAGAATTTGTCCAGGCTTGTCCTTTGCTACAAAAAGGATTGGGCCACCTTGCTGCACTTTATTTACTTTTGTTACTTGTTTCTCGTTACAAATTATCTTATCACAAAACTATTTGTCACCTATAATTTCAGTGCTTGCAGAGAATACCTTGCTGAAAACCGCTTATCATTTCCTTCTGCTCCTTGTTGGGTTCGACACTCTTACTTATCGAAAGGACTACGATAGATCTCCTATACTTATGGGTCATCAGGGTTCATCCCCCCGACACATGGGGAGTTATTCAAGGCTAGTATGCTGATTCAATGAGGAACATTTCCAGGCATTAAGGGTAGATTTCAAGTACCATAAAGAATGCCAGGAAATTAGTGGAATGTTCAACACATTTCTGCCTCAAATCCATGTACTCAAAAATCTGAACTATGCGTTCAGAAGATTTGCAACACATTGCAAATAACCTGCCAGATTCATTTACTGACTATAAAGGTGTCACACAATTCTATAATCCTGTAAAAGTATGCCTGAAAGAGTGGAGGTACCAACAAAATCCACTCCACTCCCCGTTCAAAGCAACAGGGGGATATGTATGGCAGAAGTACATCAGGATCCGGCTTCTCCAAGTAAGGATATCAAGGCCTGTGAATCAGTAAATGCAAGTCAACTTCACGTTGACAGACACCAAATGGGTAGTATACACCCAGTGGACGGGAAACCTCCACCAACTCAGATCGTAGTGCACACAATGACCGGGACATCGGAATACCCGACTCAATCGCATTGGGAAATCGCGAGCAGTGACTATGGGTAACTATATTTCCATCAACTATATATTTATATATAGATTCTAGAGAATCATATAACCGGAAGTCTACAATTATTGACATACATTTCTCAACTAGATTGCAAAAACCTTTCAAATGATTCAGATCCAAAGACCATGGCCATGGCAAAGTGTGAACAACACTCGGGCTGAACTCAATCAAAGGGTATAATCTAGGTAGAAATGATCTTGCTCAATAATGGGAAGGTGTTCATAAGCAATACCTACACCAGTTTTCTTCTGGAAACAGAATTGAGAACAACGAGGTGGTGAAACAAAGAGCAAGTATTGTAGCACAAGGGTTCACGCAGATACCCAACTATTCTCCAGAGGTGGGATCTCATTCAGATAACTTATATAATTGGCAGTTCAAAATCATCTATCTCTGCAGTTGATAGATGTAGTGATTACATACCCATGTAGATCACTAGATTCAGATATAGATGGTTCCCGGCAGAACCTCAATTCTGAATCGAAGTATAAAATGCAACATACATTGTGTAAAATCAATAAGTCACCATATGACTTATTATTATTGTCAGTACATTTGGTACAACCGACGTAGTGAGTTCCTTATACATAAGGATTACTCCTACAATGATGGTTATCCATGTTTGTGTGTCCGCAATGACGACACATGTAATCATCTAAAATGACGGAGTTTAAAATGAAGGATTTGGGTAAACCAAAATACCGCTCGTTACTACAACTTGAGCACCTTCATTCATACATTATGGTATACTACGTTGTCTATATCCAAAATATATTGGAGAAATTCATTATGGACAAATCATACAACAAACTTATACGTTTGTTCTCAAAGCCTCTACCAACTTCAACATGCAGAAAATGTTTCTGGAATTGGTATTCGATGACTTTGAGATATGCAAGAATCAGGGGGAGTATCTTCCTGAACTACTCATGTTCAATGCATCATATTATACTCTTTTTTCCTTTACGAGTTTACTTCATAGGTTCTCATCAAGGTTTTTAATGAGGTAATATCAACACAAGATCATATGTCATACTTTCTGTTTTCCCCACCGGGTTTTTTAGGAAAGTATATACGACATATTTATTGTCCTCTAAATTCTATGAATATACTTCATATTGAGTTAACGGAGGCAATAATCATTATATGTTGGATCATTTTCTCCTTATTTTCCCACTGGGTTTGAAGGAGTTTTACCAGCATAGCCTGCACTACTCCTCACATTTTTTCCACATGGTTTTTGGAGGAGACTTAACCAAAGATGATGGATCCTTATGCAGTCAGGCGGTGATTAGGGGGAGTGTTAAGAATAATAACCCATGCTGTTATTAGGGGATAATCCCCGCTCTTTTCCACTCGTGCGGTTCCGCAATACTAGCAACCGTCATGTCGGTTACAGCCTGGAGAGACGCCTCCAGCGAACCGTCGCCTCCCTTGGAGGCAACCGTTCCATTGTATATAAGCTTCAATCATCAATAAAGAATACACAGTTGATTCATTTTGTTGTCTCTCTCGAATGTCTCTCGATTACACATCAACACTGAGTTTGGTGATTTCAGCGCTAAATTTATTCACCTTGACTAGTCAATCCGGCAACAAACAGAGAGGGAAAAGAAGAGGACGGTGACCAAGTACAGTGCTATGTACTTTTATTATTGCCATACACACCATCATCGTTTCAACAATACTTCGAAAAACTGGTGTTATCATTGCTTCCAAACAGGTACTCCCTCTGATCCAAATAAGTGTGGCAATTTTCAATTCAGGTTAGTTCAACCTTAGTCCCAAATTACGACACTTATTATGTATCATATAGTTTTTCAAGATACTTTGGTATTCTTCGAATACTTAAGAATACTTTGGAACCAAACAGACCAAAATGTATTTGCATAGCTAGCCTTAGCTCTAATCAAGGTGGAGTAACAATCAACTTGCAGTGTTAAAAGACGCCAATAAGGTGCATAGCATAGAAAAATTCTGACAACACATTCGGGCGTTGCATATACTAGCTATAACACTAAACAATGACAATGACATCTACAACATTGCAAATCTAAACATTGGATAATTACGGTAGCATCACATTCATAGCTTGGCACCGGCTACAGGGCCCCCCAACATTTAACTTGACTGCAGGGGGAACTCTCTCCAGGATGTATCTTTTGATGGCACCAACTGCTTTATGTGCTTCCAAGATCATAGCTCGGCTTCTGATCCAGCATTTACCGGATTTTGAGGGACCACACCTAACAGAATCACTAATCGCCCCCGTACCGGCACCAAATATACAGTCCAGTGTGAGGCTCTCAAGTGATGTTGCATTCTTGAGAATATCACATGTTAGCTCCACCATGCTCTTTGCAGAGCAAAAGCCAATGATCTGCACCTTCTTGAGCCTCTCATGCTCGTGTTGAAGAATCTGCCTCAAAAATAAGGAGGGATCTCCAAAAACCGACTCATGCTGCATATCACTCTGATCTACCTGCATAGCATCAAATATTATTGCCAATCAAATTAAATGTCTCCGCAGCAGATACTTAGACACATTTGAAGCGTGAACAGTAAACTCACACTTAAGGTGAAACTCTCCAGGACAGGACAAGCATCCAGAAACGAAGCCAAGGATAAATAATCATAGGTCGGGGTAACAGCATCATCATCATCCTCACCAAGGTGAATATTCAAGTGCTTTATGTCAAGGAATTTGTCAGCTACCATTGGGGTATTAACCGTCTGCACAAAGATATCTCGAATTAATCACATTCCTTCTTACAATTCATAAACACTGGAATATAATAATTGAAGCTTCAGAGTATACCTCAGAAGACGAGTATATAGCAAGAGTCTGAAGATGTGGCGCAATAGAAGGTAGCTTAGTGATAGCATAACTTACAGCATTGGGCTTATATGAATACCCCACCTTCAAGTGTTTGACCTTTGATGATTCTCTAAGCACGAGTTGTACTGGTTCACCAAAGAAGTCTAAAGTGGTGAAGTTTGGAGCTGTGCTCTCTATCACTCGCAGCATATTGCACTCTGACACAGTCAAACAACTAAGCCGCTGCAGCCAGAATGGTATCGTCAAGCAGATTAGCTCCATGCAACACCAGACTTGCAACTCCTCCAAAGCAAAACAATTGGAAATAAGATGCCCCAACTCATCCCCCGTGATACAAACTCCATAGAGACGCAGCTTTGTCAGGCTTCTCAAGCAATCAAATCCAACCATGGGATGGAAGGCACAATTGGTGAGGTCAAGATAACAAATTGAGTTTCCACGCCCATCAAGTAAAATTGAGCACGGGAAGTTGTACTCTTCCCTATATCGCCAAGGCAGAAAAAGGGTGATTTTTTCAATCCCTGGCGTGACAGCTTTCTGGAGCCAACTATTTAGATGACATGTGTTGACATTGTTACAATCATCAAATACAAACTCAAGTATCTTCACACTGGTGTCTGAGTGATTTTTCAGAATTTGATTAACTCTGCTAGTGAAATCCCTTGCTTCCGTCCGTTTCAAGCCTAGTGTTTCCTCAGTGAAGATAAGCTTGGGGTGGCATCTCCAAGAACGTAGAAATGTGCGAGAGACACAGGCAGAGTGGGCAGAATCACACAATGGCATTAGGGAATGTACAAGGCACCAGATATCCTGCACAGGCATGGAAAAATAGTTGATCACTGGGATTGTAAAGGCAAACATTTTTTTTACAAAAAATTAAGGAACCCAGTCAAGGAATGGTGCTTTGTGCGATAGCTTGGAACAAATAAACCCAGTAGCAAAAAGACAGAAATAGCGTTGACATGCAAAGCAATCATAAATATATTTCTCTCAAACACGCAGGAGGGCTGTGTAACACTTCATTAAGAAAGAAATATGTAGAAGGCTGAAGATAGAAACTTCCTCAACCCAAACACACCTCTAAGGAACAAGCTAAGAACTCACACCACAGGAAACAAAACTACCAAACTAAGACAAAGGACGAGCCTAATTGTCCAAGGTAAGCGGCCCACATAAAAGCTGCCGAAGTGCCAAATGTCTGGCTGAACACTAGAGGGTGCATTCACTAGCAACTGTCAGCAACCCATGAAAACATTTTGCCTAGCGTCACTGCAAACGCAATTGTTCCGATGCTTCCATATGTCCCACGCTACCAAGATAATGAGGCAGTTAAGCCCTTTTTGGAATTCTTTGGGAACTTGATTGAGAACTTGGCACCACCAGCTTGAGAACCAGCCAGTGGTGGGTTGTGGAGCAACAGCAATTAGGCCTAGTCTTTGCAAAATACAAGACCAGACCTGCAGGGCAAAGGCACACCGCACAAGGATGTGCTGAGTTGACTCCTCAACTCGGTCACACAAGGGGGAGAACATATCAGGTGCACCGAGCCAATTTATGCACCCAATGCACCGGTGAATTTAGGACCCTTAGATGAAAAAATAATGGGCCAGATTTTGGTCAAAAGAAGGACTATACCTCTTTTGCAGAGACAGCCTTGCACTTTCTACAAACTAACCCGCACTCCACAGCACACACTTCCCATCAAAAAATCTGTGTGTTTATTTTTCTGGCCCAAACATAAAATGGTTCATATATTTTGAACCGAACGATCGATTTAAGATCCGTTTTGACTATCATTTTTGTCTTGACAAGATATTCGAAATAAGGTTGATGTTCAATATGTATCCAAAAATTAGTAGTTGCTGGTTTTTTGAAGCTTGACTCGGAACTTGTGAGAAAGATGCAAAACATGTATATGTTGCAGTCAAGTTGAGTTAAAATTTTCAAAAAGTAAAAAAATTATACTCAATATTGATCTTGATTCGAAGATCTCGTCAAAACAAAGATGGCTGTCAAAACGGATCAGAAATCGGACATTTAGTTTAAACTATATGGCACCTTTTTGTTTGAAGTAAACAAATTAAACGCGTAGATTTATTTATAGGAAAGGGAGATGTGTAGTGTGGGTTGATTTTGATAAATAGGACTATTCTGCAATGTTCCAACAATCCAACTACCAGCCTGATCGTATCCTTAAGTTTTTTATCCAATGGCTCATATAGCATGGGTGCATTCGGTGCATGAGTTGGCTCGGTGCACCTGATATGTTCTCACACAAGGGGAAAGCAGCCGGTTGTAGCAACCTCCTTTTGGCCAGGGCGTCCGCCATCCAACATTGATTATTGATGGCAAGCCAAATGAATAGCTTACAGCGCAAATGAGCCCAGGTAATCTGATAGTACCAAAAAGAAAGCCTCATAGGCTGATTTGCAAGAGTACAAGCCAGACCACGTAAATCACCTCAGTAATAAGCAACTGAGAGGTTAATTTCACTGTCAAAGCAACAAAGAAGATAATACTAGAAGATATGTTCACGATTTTATGCGGACAGCACAGGTCAACCAATTTTCCATTATCAATGTTTTATGCCATACCTCGGGTAGATCCGGCCCTGAAGATGTCGGCGTATCATCACCCTGTGACTGATCATCTTGTTGGCAGAGTGAGTCCTTTTTATCTGGCACTGAAGTAACCAATTCATCTGCAGCACATAATACACGGCAGTGAGTGATACAGATGTTAACAGAAGGAAACAACCAACTCGAGCATACAAACACACACGCACAGGCACAACAATTCTGGTTCTCCCTTTTACCCAGTTTTCTGCAAGATAACTAACACGCACTCGCTTAAATTCAAGAAAAAATATAAATATTTTTGCAAAAAATGATGGAGGAGCTCATCAGACAGTGGGATGAAGATCCTTCTCCAACCATTTGTTTCTCCTACCTCCAACTCCAAGGCTTATCTTGGATCGTGTATCAACTAAACAAGGCATTGGCTCCCCTGCTATCTCTGCGTCCACTTGTCAAATCTTGAGTGGGCCGCCTTTGATTCGGCCGGGGATTGAGACCTGACGGCGAGGGTGAGGAGGGCAGCGAGGGGTGTGGAAGCAAGAGCACCGGCTCCACGCACGGGAACGCGGGGTAGACGACAGGGCCAACGGGCAGGCGGACGACCCCCTTGGAGGCGGCGCGGCTCGTGTGCGCGCGACGGGGTAAGAGGAGGGACGGAGGGGATGCGGGCGTGCGCGACGGCGACAGACGACTGGCGAGGCCACGAGCGCTACCGTGAGGCCCGCAGGGAGCAAATCGTCAGCGTCGGCCTCGTCGGCGTGGAGATCCCGGAGCTGTACGAGGAGAGGGGCGCGAGCGGCCTGTCCCACATTGAAGTGGTTAGCAAGCGACTGGCTTCATGCCGTATCTCTGTCCCTGAATTCTGATTCTTCCCTTCCAATTTCTTCCCAGATTTGATCCCCTTTCTTTCTTCTCCACTTCTATCCCCTCGCGCTTAATCTGTTCGTCTCTATCGTCTATTTTCCAGTCTCCCACACGACTTCTTGATTCCTCAATTTGAAGATAACTCTCCTTCGCTACCTTGTGTTGCCGCCGCTTTTCTCATCGCCGGTGATTTCGGCCGTCGTGTTCGGTTTCCTGTTCCCTCCTTCCTCCGCGGATTAGCCTCCTCTCGCGTCTTCTCCCACCCTCCATCCCCTAGATCTTCAGATTGGAATCTTGTAGATCTGTCTTTGTTGGGGCTTTTTCTTGGATTGTTGCGGTAGAAGAAGAGTGCCCGTTGCGCGTTATGAACTGGATGCCAGGTTTCTTCTAGGGTGTCTCAGCTGATTCCTTATTCCATCCAGATCCATCTGTCTTTGTCAACCCTGATCGATTGGGGTCCCGAGTCTGATGGCCATGGGAAAGTTTTCTGCTACGGATGCTGTTATAAGAAGTCGTCCTCCAGGTGCAGGACTGGATCCTGCCATGGCAGATGCTCGTACTGTGCCTCCTTCTCCTGCTGCGGCCTTGAAACTCATCAGTTGGAATTGTGAGGTAAGGGCAAGAGTCTCCGCGAATCCAACAAAATGGACTATTTAGCTAGATTGATGTACTCCACCGATGCGCAGGTAACTTTTGTTTCAGAGACTAGGTCCTCTAGGTGCAATTCTGCTCAGCTAAATACTCGTTTTAATACTTCGGCTAGCTTTGTGGTTCCTTCGATTGGTCTTTCCGGTGGACTGTGGTTGCTATGGTCTGATGATGTTTCTCTCTCAGTCAAGTACTCCAATAGCAGTCTCATCTTAGCTTTAGCTGTGCATTGTCCCACTAGTGTAGAGTTTGTACTTGTATGTGTTTATGGAGATCCCCACCATCGTCTTACTAATATGATCTGGGAGTTTATTTTCAATTTTGTATGTGATAATCTCGACAAACCAGTAGTTTGTTTAGGAGATTTTAATAATATTATGTATGATACGGAAACTTCCTCTATTAATGTGTATAAAAATCGTATGCGTGCTTTCAATGGGTATGTTAAGCAATGTGGTTTGTTCGACTTGGGCTTTTCTGGCCCTGCTTATACGTGGACAAATAGACGTTTTTCTTCCAAACCTATGTTTGAAAGGCTTGATCGTTGCTTGGCAAATGCTGAATGGTGTGATCTTTTTCCGAACACTAATGTTTTTAACTTGCCTATTATTTTGAGTGATCATGCTCCTATATTGGTCTCCACGGAATCGAAGTTTCGCAGGCCTCGGTTGACTTTTAAGTTTGAAAATTGGTGGGCTCTGGAAGAGGACTTCCACACTGTTGCTAATAATGCTTGGTCCTCTACAGTAAACATGCCCTTCCACATCAGGGCTAATAATCTTGCAGGAACGCTTAAAAAATGGTGCAAGAAAAAGGATTCCCTCCAAAAACAATTACGATCTTTGGAAGAACAGATCAACAACATCCAAGTACAACCCCTTGAGGATCAGGAACATTCTGTTGAGGTTCAGCTTGTAGCTCAATATGAAAGAAACATGTCCAAGCTCAATGAATATTACAGGCAAAGGGCCAAGAAACATTGGGCTACTCGCGGTGACAGGAATACTTCATTTTTTCATAATGCTGTCACTAAGCGTAGGAGACGCAACCGCATTCTTTCCATCAAGGATGCTCAAGACAAAGATCTTTTTGATCCCCAGGACATTGCAAATGAATTTGTAGACTACTTTAAGAACATTTTTCAATCTTTAAGTCCTAATAATTGTAGACCTTTTTTAAGTACTACTCTTCCTCAGGACACACAAGACTTTACTACTTCAATACCAGATAAGCAGGAACTCTGGGAGATTTTAAAAGAAATGAGGATGAATGCATCTCCAGGTCCGGATGGCTTTAATGCGGGCTTTTATAAAACAGCTTGGAGCTGGATTGGTGATGATGTTACTCAACTGGTAAGGAATTTTTACGTTACAGGTGTTCTGCCTCCTCGTCTTAATGAAACTCATATTGCTCTTATCCCCAAAAAGATAGTTTGTAAATTACCTTCAGATTTTAGACCTATAAGCCTGTGTAATGTAGTTTATAAAATTATTGCTAAGTCCTTGTCTAATAGGTTGAAGTCTCATTTGCCAGATTACATCCATCCTTCTCAGCAGGCATTCATTAAAGGTAGACGTATTAGTAACAACATCATAGTAGCGCAAGAAATTGCTCACTCTTTCTCCTTGAAATCCTATAAAGGCAATGACTTCATGCTTAAAATCGATCTTGCAAAAGCTTTTGACAGAATCAAGTGGAATTTCATTTGCTCTGCTCTTGCACGTAAGGGGTTGCATAGCCATTTCATTAATCTTATATATGCTTGCATTTCTTCTCCCTCTTTTTCTGTGATCATAAATGGGCAGCCTTTTGGATGTTTCAAAAGTTCTAGGGGTATACGACAAGGATGTCCTTTGTCTCCATATCTTTTTGTCCTTGCTGTTAATGAGCTCTCAATGGCCCTACAGAATGCACTACAAGCCAACCAGCTCTCAGGTATATCCTTAGGTCCAAACTGCCCTCCTATCCACTCGTCCAAACTGCCCTCCTATCCACTCGTTAATGTTTGCTGACGACTTGTTGATATGTGGAAAAGCTAATATGCAGGAAGTTCAGACTATTTCCCAAATTTTACAGCAATTTGGCCACCTTTCGGGGCAGCTTCCCAACTGGAATAAGTCAGCCATTATGTTTAGTACAAACGTTTCTTTGCAGGAAAAACAGGATACCAGGAACTTATTTCTAGTGCCAGATATGGATAACTCCTTCACCCATTTGGGTCATCCTCTTATTCTTCCGGCTAAGGATAGAGCTAGAGCTTATAATTTTGTGTACGATAAATTTAAGTCGAAGCTCTCTACTTACAAAGCTAATAGGCTTTCACATGCAGCTAGATTGACCTTGATCAAATCTGTGTTCTCTTCAATTCCTGTCTACTACATGTCCAACATTTTGTTTTCTAAGAAATTTCTTGCTAGGCTCACATCTATCATCAGGAATTTTTGGTGGACAGGTATTAAGGATGACTCTACTAAAAGGGCTCTATGTTTGAGAGCCTGGGCGGACATATGCACAGATAAGAAGATAGGAGGCCTAGGAATTAGGAATCTACAAGCCATCAACCAAAGTTTAATTCTTTCTGCAGCTTGGAGAATAGCTAAGGAGCCTAACAGTAATTTAGCTCTTATTCTCAAGTCAAAGTACTATGCAAATACCTCATTTTGGAGAGCAGAAGCCAATATGCCTAAGTCAGCTTTCTGGACAGCCATATTGAAGGTAAGACATCTACTGAGCTCTGCATCTTTTTATCAACTTGTGGATGGAAGCTCCTCCATTTGGAGCTCTCCATGGTTCTCTAAATGGCAAGATATTTATGACAATTTGAATATTCAACAACCACCTTACTCCTATCCAGCTGTGGTAAAAGATCTGTGGTCCAATAGTCAAAAGGTATGGAACACCCAACTAGTTAATACCTTGTTTACCCCTGAAACTGCGGCTGTCATCTTGCAAACCCCTATAGTTGATTCTCTAGGCCATGATTTGCTTGTATGGAAGCTAACCCCTTCAGGTGAATTCTCAACCAAAAGTGCCTACAAGCATTGTTACAAAAATCTTGAGCTCCCTATTAATCAGAGACCTAAGCCAGTGCCACAACAGGTAATCTCTCTTCTCAATCAGGTTTGGGCAGAAAAAATGATGTTACCCAGGGTTCAAACTTTTGCTTGGAGACTACTTCGGCGAGCCCTAGCTACTGGGAAAAGAGCAGGTAAGTTTTCCAAACATATAAAATCTGAGTGCTCCAGGTGTGGCATGGAAGAAGATGAAATGCACATGTTATTCTTATGTCACTTCTCCAAAGCGGCTTGATTTTCACATCCTTGGTACATCAGAACTGAAATGTTAGCTGCCACACATCAAACTATACCCGATATGATACAGTTTTTGCTTTCTTCCAATCACCCTCACATTTCAACTATTAATCTCTATACTTTTCTCTGGTGTTTATGGAAAGTGAGAAATGACTATTTATTTAATCGCAAGAACATTAAGCCAGAGCAAGTTTTTGTTGTGTACAATGTTGTTATGCAGGACACAGACACTTCACTGATGAAGGAGTTACATGTTCATGATTCAACTTGGAAGGGACATCACGGTCAGCCAGAACAGCTAAAGCTTTCTACTGTTCTTACTTCTCAGTCTACAATATATTTTCCAGGTACACAAATATACTCAGATGCATCTTGGTTGTTGGAGCCAGGACAAGATGTAGCAAAGGCGGGTATAGGTGTTTTTCTACAAATTAACGGGCAACATACCGACCATCTGTACATCTCTGCTGTGTCGCCACCAGTAGCATCAGCTTTGCAGGCAGAAGCTTATGGACTGTTGTTGGCGGTGAAGATTGCAGCTCAACTACATGTGCAGGATCCGAAGTTTTTGACGGACTCTGAAGTGCTTGCCTCAGCGG